GGGAAAAACTAGGATAACAAAAGCAAACATACACAATATGTCAGTGGCAGGCACTGGGGAGGGAAGAGAGCTCAAGGGCAGCACTTGCAGGATTCAACTTATTGCTCCTATAAAACAAGCTGTAACCCACAGTGACCAATATGTAAATTTCAGTGACTGAGTTCTCTGAGGCTAGTAAACCCTGACCCACCTGCTGTTTTCGTTTTTATTCAAAATAAAATGACTACAGCCTAATGTCTTCCTAAAACCAAGAGAAGAGTCTGCATTTTCCAGATCAGGACCAGAGTTTTGGATCATGTTGACGGCATATGCACGTGCACATGGCCAGAAAAGGACATTGCTTGTACCCACATGCCTTTCTTTCTTCAGGGACAAATTGCAACAGGCACTAAGAGACACCTTATTTTCAAGTGACCTCCTCTGTCTCCCTCCTTTCTGGCCAACAGGACCAGCCCAACCCTTGGAGATGGACGACAGATACCCATTCTGGCAGAAAGAATGACAACTGATCCATTTCTAAGCATCTCTGGATGTGGACGTCCTCTCTTTGTGGAGTATCAGCTGAGGTACAATAGAAATATGCAGTTACAATCCAAAGAGAAGTCGAGCTAAAACAAGAAGAATCACCTTTTTCTGGACTCTGCCATGACTGGTGAGCTCGAAAGAAAATACTGAACCACAGACTTCAAGATGGATGTCAGACAAAACTGTTCCAGTTCCAGGTAGGGAAGCCAACACCATTTAAATCTTGCAGAGAACAAAATATGTTTTCTGACATGCTAGGTGATTTCCTGTATGTTACTAATATGAGAGGAATCTCCCTCAATAAGCTAGTTAACTATAGCAAATAGAAAGCCAAAATCATGTTTATGGAATTGTTATGTCTGAGGAATATTATTAATATAGCTTATAAATAATGTTTAGGGTGATTTATAGATGTGTATTTAGGCTTGCTGGCTCCATTTCCCTCTCCCTCCTTCTCTATGCCTCCCCTGCCCTTCTCTCCACAAGCAGGTTAAAATTTATTCTCAGAATTTGGCTTTGCTAAGGGTCAAATGGGAAGCAACATCAGGGATGGGTCTGCTGGAATGCATCCAAAACTCTATTTCTTCACTCTTAACATTAAATCCAAGAACTTTCTAGGCTGTCTTACTGATAGCCTTTCCTCAAAAGATTGATCTTCTCAATGACATTCTATAGAATCATGGATCCTTAAAGAGCCTCATAAATGCTCTTGAGACATTCTTTGCCTCCAAAACCCCCACATTAAAGATTTCAGTCTCTTCTCAGTAAGCTATTTTATAGTAGAATAAACATCACAGCTCCACACCCTACCAAACACTACTGTGCAACCAAACACTGCTTTGTAAGTCATCTGCTGATATAGTCTTGTACTGACCATAATAACTCTTCAGTTTTCTCTTGAATATGTGTCTCTTGTATAGTCAAGCTGTCTATCCCATTTCCATGTTCTACTCCACCACTCTGTGTTCAGAAAAGATTATCTACTACACAGAACCAGGGATGCTCTCTTTCTTCGTGCTCTGTTTAAAGATTATTTTTTAAGTTTAGCTGACCAAAAGAAAAACTAATGCATGTGCATATCTTTTACATGTTATAGAGTAACGTCAGAATTTAATTTTTTCATTGGTGCAGTTTTACTGTTTCTAATGAATATAAAAATGAATGTATAAAATGAATGACTATAAAATGAGTGAATGTAACAACCAAATAATATGCAGTATTACAGAGTTACATACAATATACAGAAGAAACAGAATGTGTCGTTGTTCTGTGCAGTCCCAGAAGAAACCAGGGAGCACAATTTGTGTAACATTGAAGAATTATTCTGTATTATATACATACAAAATTCATTTAAATGGGTTCATGCTTTCAGACCAACTTTTCCTCTTAATGGCTGCTTTGTGCTAAATGTGCTCTATCAAAATTAATTTAACCAAACTCAAACTCCTATTGATGAAAATTTGATATTTCTCATTTTCACCTTTTAAATACCACCACAATGCCATCTTGTATATATCTGGGCACACTTATCCACCCATTTCCCACTCCAGAATGATGTAAGAAGTTCTTCTTCCTCTCAACCCAGCATTCCTGCACGTGCATGTTGCTTCCATCAGATGATTTTATTCCCGAGGTCCACCCTGCAATATGTGCACTTAAGTGTATATGCTGCAGGTCCAGACCAAGTTCTGCCCTTTATTGCCATAAGTCAGATGATAATAATTTCTAGTTCACAGAGTCTTGTGGATAGTTATATATAGTGATCAATGAAGGATGCCAGGCATTTTGTAAGTTCTCAACAAATGTCTATCTGTATGACTGGCATAACTTCCAAAACTACAGAGAAAAATCACTCCATCCTCTTCAGGATCCATGTTCACTATATTCATTGACTATTTTACACATTTAATTTCTGCTTGCCAATTTCTTTTCTCTCTGCTTCCAACTTGATTCTTCTGGTTCTTCATCTTCTGGGGAAATACTGATTCTGCTCTTCTAGGCAACTAGCCAAACTCCCAGTGACAGAATTAAATAGACCTTCTGTCTAATTTTTGTTAGTTACAATTTATCTAGGAAAGCTTATTGTTTTGTTGTTGCTGTTGTTGCTGTTGTTATTGGGGGGTTTGGGTGGTGGTGGTTTTTTGGTTTGGGGATCTTTTTGGTGGGGGGGTTGGTCTTTTTGAGACAGGGTCTGCCTGTAGCCTTGCTGGCCTGGAACTTGCTATGTAGAGCAGGCTGGCCTTGATGTCACAGAGATCCACCTGCCTCTGCCTCCCTAGTGCTGGGATTAAAGGTCTGTGCCACCACACCCGGCGAAGAAAGCTTATTGTGGTAATGGCCAGTATTAATCTTTGATCTATTGTAGTTTATTATCACTGTTCTACTATTGGTTTTCATTCTTTTTTTCATTTGTTATTCAAATATATAATATACATTGGTTAATTAAAGATAATAGATCAGAACTCCCAAATACCTTTCTAATAAATTAACAAAGTATTTACAATCCAACAGGGGAGAGAGAATCTGATCACAGAAAAGAGCAAACAGAAGCTCTAGGCCTCACAGCCTGTCCTCTGTAAAGTCAAGTCACTTGGTTGGGGATAATCTGAGAGAAAAAAATCTTTGGAACTATATCTTCAAACACAGCTGTTTATGGGCTATCCTATGTGGTCGAAAGTCTTCTAACGAAGAGAAGATGCTTTGTAAAAGCAAGAGACCACAGTAGAATTGTAAGAAGTTTGAGGCAGTAGAGACAAGAAGATGAGAAAGGAGCAAGGCTGTAATAAATGAAGCGGGACTTCAAACAGGGATTTCCACGGCCTTGGTTGGTTGCTATGGAGACACAATAGCATGGCACCACTCCATGGCAGGTCCAAAGATGGCACTCACCTGGTGGAGCCCAGTGACACCTGAGCCCCACCTGCCCTGGGATAACGGACCAACTGATGAGTAAAAATCATTTTCTGCTCTATTGGTCATCATCTTTGCTCAATTCCAGAATGAATTTCAGATATGAGCTTTGATTAGATACATATGTACATTTTACCTACCTTTTATGAAACAGCATTAAAGCAAAGAAGTTCAAACAGAAAGTGTCAGCTATTAACTGAGAGACACTAATGAATTCCATAATTATACCAAATGAAGCTTATCATTTGCAAAAGTCCCCTATCTCCCACTTTCCCTAGGAGAAGGTATAAATGGCTCTTCTTTTTAATTTGCTTTCTTTTGCTTTCTTTATTTTTTAAATGAAAAAATAATAAGCAGTCGTGTGTAATAGGTTGCCTAAAAAGAGGGACTGTAGATATAAAATACATTATCTTCTAAGAGTCCAGTCCTCACTTATAAAATAAACATTCTCTGTCAGAGAAGCCCAAGGGCTTCCACACCTGCTTGGAGAGGAGGTTAAGCTTCAGCAGCTGACCCAGGGCTCCGTTCCTCCTCAGTGAGAAGGGTTTTTGTACAGCAAGGCAATGGAGTACTACCACTGTGGTGGACGTTCGGGCCAGGCACCAAGTTGGAACTCAAACGTAAGTAGAATCCAAACTCTCTTCTCTTGTCTATGTCTCATGGTCTCTGTGTCTAAAAGTAGTCTATAAAATCTGACTCTGAAATCAGATTCTGGCATTCTCCAGGGCAAAGATAATGAATTCTGTAAGCAAGGTTGGGACTTGATTGTCCATGGTTTATGAAGTGCAAAAGTCAGCCACTGAATGAGAATACCTTAGACAAGTGATCGAAATTTACAAGGCAGCATAGTAGGTAGTCTGCTCTAGACAAAGCCTTGCTCAGTTGTCAGAAAGGGCTCTCAGTTTTTGTACAAGAGGGAAGTTAAGAGAAAGCACTGTGTGTACACGTTCGGAGCTGGGACCAAGCTGGAAATCAAACGTAAGTATTTCTTTCAACTGATTCTTCACTGTGTCTAACTGTTTTGTGTTTTGTTCTTTTCTCTATGTTTTCCTTTCTGGGGTGTCAAGGATGTAACAAATTTCATACTCAGATTAAGTGCAAAGGAGGGAAAATTGTTCCCCAGGAAGTTTGCTAGTGACTGATTTTTAAGTTTTCTAAACCAAAGTAACTAAATTGGGGGAAAATGGATAATTGCCCTTCTAGGGAGGTTTTTGTAGTGGGAGAAGTTAAACCGAATCACAGTGAACCACGTTTGGTCGAGGGACCAAACTGGAAATCAAACGTAAGTACATTTCCGCTCAGTTGTTTGTAAAGTTTTGCCTGTATTGTATAATTTGTGTGAGTTTGTGATATTTCGGTTAAATGAACCATTCCTGGTGACCCAAAAATACATAGAAGAACACCAGGAAATAGCCAACATAAAAACTGAGCAAAGAGATTGATATTAGATTTCTGAGAAAAATCAGATTTGTGAGAAGCATGGGAAAGAAACAGTTTTTTCTCTGAATTTGGCCAATCTAGTTGGATTGGCTTCAAAGGAGGTTTTTGTTAGAGGTAGTAGTTAACATGACTCACTGTGGCTCACGTTCGGAGGTGGGACCAAGGTGGAAATCAAACGTAAGTAGAATTTAGCTCAATTTTTTCTTAAGTTTTGGTCTCATTGTATCATATGTGAGAGTTTGTGATATTTTGGCTAAATGATCAATTCCTGATGACCTACAAATGAGTAGAAAAATAGTCATTGGAGAAGCTGAGCAAATAGACTGTTAGGTTTGTTGTGAGAATGGATTTGTATAAGGAATAGAGAAGAAATGGCTGGGCTTTTCTCTGAATTCAGCCAGTCTAGTTGGATTGGCTTCAAAGGGAGGTTTTTGTTGAGGCAGGAAGTGTTAGAGCCTCACTGTGATTCACGTTCGGTGGTGGGACCAAGCTGGAGATCAAACGTAAGTGCATTTTTCTAATCCTTTTCACATAGCGTTGTAAGATGGGGGCTTGCCATGTTTGGAGTATGAGTTGAAGTCAGTTCCAAAAATCAGTTAAGTAGCAGATAGAAAAGTCTGTTCATGTCAAGGAAAAGGAAAGAGCTCATCAGATGACGTGGCATCTAAAATGCCAGACTTTCTGTCTGTCAGCCGAGTGAGATTTGCAACCAAAAAGTGGGTTTTATTGAAGAGAAAGCACTCAGTACTGTAGATCACAATCACCAAGAGGCCTGACTAGAGATTAAACATGAGTAATTATTATCTATTGCCTTCTGAAATTGGTCTAATTGCTGGTATTGACTTTAGACGTTTAAGTGGTTTCATGGAGAGGAGGAAATGGAGCACTCAAGGCTTGCCAACAGTCAAGAAAGTCTAAATCAGCTTCAAAAATTAATTTGGAAGTAAAAACTTAAATTGAGATAAATTGAATGACTCAGGATAAAAAAGAAATAGTATAGATGAAAAAAGAAACAAAGTTCTAAGAGCAAATGTAAATTAATTTATATTGAGTTTCAGCAAATACAGTGCTGGGCTTTGCTCAGTAAGTGTGATATAAAAAAGTTAGTTCTTAGCTGCTTTCCCTCTTTTGCCTGATAAATTATTTTGTATGACAACTATGAAAATCAATATATGCACTAACATAAAAGTCAGTTTAAAAAAAAGCCTTTGAAAGTATGGCTGTTTGCTCTGT